TTTTATCAAGAACATCACTGTTCTCTATGTTTTGAATGATGTATATACAGGGTATGAGTGGTTTGTGCTGGTATCTGATTTCAGAAATATCAATTTGTTTATATTTGATGTTGTATTTCTGTAGCATATTGATGGTTGTAGAGAGCTTATTAGTGCCAGGGGGACCCTGTAAAACAATTGGATACTTCTTCTTTAGAATGTGCTCTTTGAGTTGTTGAAGGGCCTTCATATGGGTAGAATTCAATAAAAAATACATAGGCGCGTTTAACAAGCATTTTGGCATTGGTCACTGTGATTCATAGATTGTCTTGTAATAATCTTGCTTAAGTGGGAAAATCTCAATAAACTTCCAAATGCAATTCCAGGTGGTGTTCTCATAACTAGAAAAGTTTTTGAATCTTATGTCTGTTGTTGTTTTCATGGCATTTGACTCCAATTCTTTGTGTAATCTTTGTTCAGGTATTATATTTCTTGATATTGGCCATAATTGATTAAGATCATCTTGTTTTAAAAGGAATTGTTCTGCTGCAGTAGGTGAATTCTTCCTTAACAAGTTGTGAATGGTTCGTTCAATAACATTCTGAACGTCATTATTCGTTTGTGTTTTGGTTTCCACTGTGCTTATTTTGTTGACTTCTATTTCATCTTCAGGTATTTTGTTATTTTCTGTATCATGATCATCTACAATTATTCTGTTCATTATTTCTGCTTCTTCATCCAGTACTTTCATAGCGTATTCTTTATCCTGCATATTTGCGTATCTCCAGACTTTAATCCCTTTATAGTGCTCATTGATTCTTGTGCTCTTTTTGACAATTCTGATATTGTATAATTCACCATCAATAATCTGAGTCTTAGTTGAAATGTCTGTATGTGTTTTAGTTTCTGTTGTGATTATGTACAGTGTCTCAAATACAATATCTCTTTTCTTGACTATTTTAGATGACAATGCACATACAATGTCTGTGATTGCAGAAACCCTATACGTATTGAGTACTAGAGCCATTATATACACAAACTTGATACGTTCAATGACTTGAGAAAACTCATATTCACCGCATTCAGTGAAAGACCTGTTTTTCATGAAAGTCTGGAAGGTGGTTGTAAAGAAATTATCCAGAGAACTTTCAACTTGTAACATGAAGGTGTTGAGTGTCTTATGTTCAGGTTGTGTCCTATTTTTGTGGTTGAACAGTTCTTTTGTAATTTTAGTATATTGTGGTTTTTCAAAGCACATATAGGGTTAGTTTTTTTAAGAATTATAAAGAAAAACATTAAATAAAGTGCATAATTATAAATGTAAAAATACAATGCATATATGGTTATTCCAACCATACATGTAAGTTAAGAAATATGATTTCAAAAGGAAATTTTTATTTACATAAAAATCCAAAAATGTTATCCAATATAATTTATTTAAAATTGAAATATGCTAACTAAATGTTTGGTTTGAGAGAATAAAACTGACACTTAGCAATATCAGATAAACAAAACTTTGTTAGAAAAAGAAGATATTTGTAAATCTGCGCATTTAAAGAAACAAGAGAAGTTGCAAAGTGTTGCTGTACAACTACGCATAGAATAAAAATCAACTGCTGTATGTTTTAACTTAATTAGTTTGTTTGGATACGTTTTAATTAACTACAATATTATAATAAGTATTTATAAAACTGTCCTAAATAGAAATGTAAAAAATGCAAATAATACAAATATTTCTAGTTATCGTGTTTACACAATTCATTCAATCAAAATATTATAATTATCAACATGTTTTTATGTATATAGAATCCATTTATACAATATAATAATCAAACTTATAATTCTTTAACACGGAATATAATTTAATATAAAAATCTTGCATCTCAAAGTAAGGGAAGACTAAAGCATAAAAATGGATGCTCAGTGGACACTAAATGCATCTGCATAGATTTTAGAGGCTTAAAATATACCATATCCCTTTCTAAATTGGTAATAAGAGTGATGAGCTCAGAACAAAATAATTAAATGCTTCAAAACAACCATAGTATAATTATAGAGATGAGCAAACATAACTTTAAATGTCAAATTTCTAATTGAAAAATAATTGAGTTTGTTGTTACAAATTCATAATTACTTTGAAAATCGTAATATTTACCCCTATAAAAAATAGAAATGCAAGGGCGTTATTCCAAAATTAAACATACTATCATTTAATATTGCATCAAAATAAATTTATAAATATCAATGTTCTAGCAAGACCATGTTTTTATAAAACAATCTTTCGAATATAGTAAACATATAAATTATATTTAACATTTATAAATATTCAAATACCAAATAAAGTTAGTAGAATATATTTATAACAAACTTATTTTTCGTAACCTTTAACATTGAAATTCAATATTATCTTGATATAATTATCAAAAATAGAAAACAACGTTTCAAATATTCTATAACAAATATTTTTCAACATATAATTAAAAATAATAGATTTTGCATTTATTTAACAGTTGTATATAATCACAAAAACGTTGTGCATAGTTCTAAATCATTTCTTGTTTGATATAATACAACTTAGAGATTAAATTAGTAGAAAATCTAACATGTAAATACACCTCTCCATTGTTAATTTTATTATATTTAGATATTCAACTCGTCTTTTTATAATGACATTTCAAATTATAGAAAAATAAAATTTTGTGTGTTATGTTTAGGATATAAATTCAATTAATCGTTATACGTTGAAGTCAATAAATGAATTAAACATATATAGTAAGAAGTTAAACAGCATATCACCGAAACAAAGTTTATTGTTGGTTAGTTTCTTATCGTATTTTTGATTTATATTATCTTGTACTAAAACAATGATTTTGCAAACAAGTTAATCAATATTCTATAATTGTATTAAGTTTTGATTACAGTAATTTTATTTTGTATGATTATTTGTATTTAATAATACACAACCTTCGTAGTAGCGAATATTATACTCAATGCAGAAACCTGTAGCATATTTACCATATAAATAGTATCATCATCATATACGGTTTCAATCATTCCATTGGTCAGACGTGTTTTAATAAACATGTTTTTATAATTAAAATTCTTATTATTATTACGCTTTTTGAAAATTTGTAGATACCATGTTTTAGTAACTGCTGAAACATTGTAAGGCGAGAGGAATGTACATTCTCTCAACTCCGTTCAATGAGATAGTAGTATTCGATTGTTGAGCATTATAGTGTAAATAAGAATTTATGACTGTTTTATTAATCTTTTTTCAGATCATAGCAATGTAATACCCATCTTATTTTATAAATGCGTTTCGCCTTTAAAATATGTATCTAAAGAAAACAAGTTCTTAATTATTTGATTAATATGTAATTTCCAGGAAGCTTTATAAAATATTTTTAATGTTCAACAAATAGTATATTGTACTGCAAAGCATTAACATTATGACATCATTATATAAAAACCTTACGTTACACACAAATATACATCTTTTATATGTAGAATAAACATAGTAGAATAGCAATTCAAAAAAACTATAAGGTTTTTCATGAAAATATTGATACAAAAATATATTAAACTGCATTGCCATGATTATAATTCATATTAAATGCAAGTTTTTATTTAGTTGTATTTACTTTTTCTAATGTATTATAACATTTGAAAACTAAATTTAAAAAAGATGTTTGAATTCTCTCTTTGATATTGAATAAATATTTTGTATTTTATATTAATGAAAGATTAACTTCATAATAAATATTACAGCGAAGTAACATTTGTTGCGAAGAAAGATGATACTCTGAAACATTTAATAATCTAGTTAGTGCTTGCCATTTTTATTATAATAGTTCATTTTATACAAATTTAGGTTAGGCAAGATATCTACCCAATAATCTCATAAGTAAATGAATATTAAGAGGGATTCGTTATAATATATAGAATGTCATTACTTGTATACCATTTTAATTATAAAAACAGTACATAAAAACGAAAGTATCAGAACACCAAAAATTTAAGAAATGACAGTATGTATTTAAAATAGAATTTATCAAATCGATAGTGTTTGAATCGAAGTTTAATTTAATATTCCTAATGCGATTATGTTAATATTTTAAAATATATATTTCATTCAGCCTATATAAGTTCATAATACTGAAAAATAGTATCGTCTTTATAAACCAATATATCGTTATGTACTCAAACAATTTTTATTTTGATAGTTTATGCGCAAACAAAATATTGCGATGGAAATATTTTTAATTATTATAAAATGAAAATGTACAAAACTATAATAAAAATTATTTGTTGTTAAATAAACGAATAAAATTGAAATCTGTAGTTGCTATTTAGATTTATGGTTATATCTATATAATGCACTTTAATATATTCCTAAATGCATATTCCTATGTTAATATTTCCTTTTTGTTTTTACAATGAGGAGAAGTGTTCATTTTGCATTTGCCCCTAAAAAATCGGATTAGGTGTCTTAAATAATTAATAGCTATTACTTTCAGGCTTGGATGTCATATGTTTATAAAAGTGTGTGTTTGTAATAAAAAAGTATGAAGCAAATAAAATATGTTTGGGCTTATGTGAAAACGTTATATTTCTTCAATAATCAGATTTGTATTTAATATCTGAATGTTTAACTACACATTTTTCATTCTTAAAGTTTTTCTACAAATCATTCTTGCAAGAACAATATATTTTATTAATGTATAGAATAATACAGTTATTAAAATAGAGGCCAAAAAAGGATTTTCTCATTGGTCTCAATACATAGGGTATATAAAATTCAACTTGAACATTGGGATTTAAAAATTTTAATTGTTTATTTTATTTACATGTAACATTTTATTACAACAAGTATAAATTGAGTTTAAATATAATTTTAGATTTCACAGTAGGTTATTAAAAATATAAACGTTTAATACATTCCCCAACTGAATATCACACTTAAAAATAAGTAATACGTTAGTAAAATGTTTAATTTGGCTATCTTTAATGTTAATTATGCTTGTTTTTATACGTTATCCCTTATAACATAATGTATTCAATTGTAATTCTTCGTAGTATTTAAAAACATACATTAAAATAAAAAATAATGTATGTTTTTAAATGGAAGATATAACAACTATATCTTTTTTAATTTACTTTCTTAATTTATTAATAAATTCTATGAATTATAAATTTCAATTGGAAACCCCCGATATTATATGGTGATTTGTCGCTATATTATTTCAAGAATTTTATTGTCTTTTGTCTTTGGTTGATTTGATGATTTAAGTTTAATCGTTCTAATTTGTGTCTTTTCTTCCATGTTATGTGTCAAGAAAAACCTCGAAACTTATTTTTATTTATTATCTTTATTACGTATATTTATAGTTTTCCATTGGTATTTATGTCTTGTTAATGCCTTTGATAAATTTTAATTTCCACATCCAAATAATATAAATCATACACGCAATTATTTGGTGTTAGTATTAATGTAAAAGTTAAATTTAAACAATATTTTGATTTATTTCACTTATTTTTATAAAAATAACGATTCATATATTAATGAATGTATAATGATTGTAATTTCTCTATTTTTAATTTACTCTTAAACAATATAAAAATTTTCATCACATGTATATAATTGTATATGTCTAATGTCAAAATGCTTTATTTGAATTTTGGATGTGATTTTATTATATATTCTTTTTCTGTTTGATTGTGTGTATAATATTTTTAATTGATTATAAACATATAATGAACGCTTGTGTTTTATAACACAATATTCAAAAAATTTCGGCCACCTTGACTTTTTAAACTACGTTTTATCAAACAAACATTTTCTGTTAGTTTAATACAATATTTTATTTTTTCAATAAAACATATTAGGAAATCATTTTGAACCACAAAAATATTAACTAATAATACAATATCATCTTGTTTTTGATTAACATTCTGGACTGACCTATTTTCATAAAATATTGTGTTGGGGGCTAAAGTTATGTCCTTTTTTTCATAATGTCTTTCTTATTTCTTATTTGTATTAAAATATTTCATTTATGGCATAATTAATGATAAAAACTAGATAAAATTTAATATATTTGTTCAAGAAAATTTTTGGAATAAGCATTAAAACATTTTTATTAGAGGGATTCGCTTTATTATCAACTACTTTTGAAACTATTTAATAAGATATGTGTCAGTTTGATATACTTTGGATAAACCAATCTATACTATAATAATTTCAAATGTCCAGTTCGTTACTTTTTTGAATTATTTTTAACCTTAAATATGCCAGATATGCACATAAAATGCACTATTTCAAATATAAAGCAATTCACATATTTTTCTAAAAAGTTAATTTGGAGACATACATATTGAATAAAAATACAAGCTTGTTCTCTTTAATACAATTTAAAAAAAAGCACATGTAGTGCAATAGAAATAAACACTAACATTCAACCAAAAAGAGACCTCAAAATCCAACAGAAAGAATATCCATTATTAGCTCTACATAATTATACCTACAATACTATTTTATTTACAATTTACCCGCAGAAATCTCCTAAAATGCATCCAAAGTATCTTCTAAACCACGACCTATTTTCTGGTTGTGGTACTCTCTGAGATCTATCCAAAACATTCTCTGATATTATGTTACCATCTGGTGAAGTAATTACTATTTTCCTAGTCTTATTTTTCACTGCCCATGTTTTGATATGAGTCTCTTTTGATTGTTCAATTGTTTCATTCTCACCTGACATTCTCTCTGATCCAACATATGAAGATGACTCTGTATTTTGATCAATGGATTTGTTGCCCCCATTCAAATCCATTGATTCCTTCACTGTTTCTGGTTTATCACCTGATACATCCACCTTTGTACCAAATGATTCCATAACAGTCGTATTATCAATATTAAATACTTTGTCAAATTCAGTTGCCGAATATGAATTGGATTCGTGTTCTGAGACACATTTCAATTCAACTTGTTCAGGTTCCATCACATCTTCAACAGTGATTGTTTCACAGCTTTCATTGGATTTGCTACTGTCGCCCATTACAGTAACATTCTCAACAGCCGTTACGATTTCACTAATTCCACTACCATCAGAAATAGCAAATTGTATACTGCTACTACCGGATTCAAGAGTATCACTCTCCTTATCACTATTCTCAGCAGCTATTTCTTCTGCCAAATCACTAATATCAGTTGTTCCAAAACTATCAGAAACACCAATGTTAATACTTAGTTGAGAATCACTAGACTCAGTAATAGTACTCTCCTTCACACTGCTACTAGTGTGATCATTGCATATATCACTGACTACCTCTCTATAGTCAGCTGATGTCAGGTGTGACTGATCTGTATCATCCCCCTGTAATTCCACTTCCATCTCAGATTGAGTGGGTTCAATCCCAGGGGATGAACTTTTTATCCCTCCTTCTTCTGACTCATGCGCAGTAAACTCTGCTTTGATGCCGCTAAAGAACTGGATTAATCGTCCTACACGTCCCTTTTCACACAGACTCGGGTCATCCAAGTGCACCTCAACACTGTCACGTTCCAAACTCTCCTCACTCCTGGAATGCTCTTCCGTCTTCTTGTTCTGACTCGACGAGCTCGCTGGAATGTAACTGAAACACATGGGGTATCTTTCTCGTTTATTTATATACTACTTATCGCATAATATCATGCATGGAGATGTTTTATACCACTATGTACCTGAAAATATTTTAATATTTGATAAGGGTATTAAAAGAGTATTTAGGTGTTTAAAATGGGTGTGAGTGTCTTGAATACAGTAGTAATAGTGTGATATGTAGACACTTGAATACATAAAAGTATATTTGTAAAGCATCAGAGAGATAAGAATGCAACATGTCAATAAGATTTATAAGGTTGTAATGTGCTGGAAACAGCTACACGTACTTAAAATAGTAGTATGGTAGGCTATCTACTGTTATTTCTCTCTCTATTTTCTATACGAACAAAATTACTATGGACCTTTTCAAAACAAACTATTTTTGCCTGATTTGGTAACTTATGTAAAATTGCGTCAGGATGTAAATAAATAACATGTGTTCGTATAATGCAATTCACTTAAATAGTAGCTAGCATTAGTTTTCAAGCAGTCAGTTCAAAGATACCCAAATGACCTAAAATCACCAGATTGTTTTTTGTTATATTTCCGCCCAAAATAGCAGAAGTGGAACAAACTCGCCTTTATTTGTCTTCAAACTCTTTGTTTTATGAAATTCATTGTCTTTGTATTTAATACCTTCAAATTCAGTTGAATAAGCCTGATAATCATATTTTGTTGCGAATAACATATTTTTGCAGACAAACACGATGGTGTGCTCATATGTTTGATACAGACAACTATGATGCGCTATTTCTTGCTGTTCTGTTCGTTTTGACATCAATTTGGTTCTCATAAAATCAAATTGAAATAGCAACGATGCTCTCTATTCTGGGCATTTAGTAACATCAAATTTCTAAAGCATTATTTTCAACTCCTCTTCTATCACTCTATTATTACCAGGCTTGCAATCCTTAATGTTTTCACTGTTTCTCGATCTCGTGCTTGTTATTCCCTTCTGGGCGCAGCTAAAACACGAACTGCTGTTACGATTGTATCTTCACATGATCTTTTTCAATAAAATCTCTCTCGATGTAATTATCGTAGTAGCAACACCACCTTGAAACGCAATCTTATTTTTGCGATTTTCAAACCTAAAATTAGGGATTAAAATGCTTCACAGGACACTTTTTCCAATAGAAATACTTAAGAAAAATAGGCCAATTGGCCAAAATGACTAATTTAGCCACGCTTAGAAACCCTTAATTTTGATTAAACACTTCTTTTAACTTAGTATCAATATGCAGAGCAATAACAATTCTTTATTACCCTATTTATTTATTTCTTTCTCACGTTATTTAAAGGTCCAATGTTTCTTCTGTGGTTTTCCTTTTCTTTACCAATATTAATGTTCCTATTGATAATATCACTATACCCACAACAACCAATATGATAGCAACTAATATTTTGCTCTTCTTTGATGTTTCTTTCTTTTTTGATATTTCTTTCTTTGGTGTTTCTTTCTTTGGTGTTTCTTTCTTCTTTGATGTTTTCTTCTTTGGTGTTTTTTTCTTCTTTATTATTTTCTTCTCATACTCTTCCAGATCATGCATTGTTTGTATTTTTTTATTGTTTCTTGTTATTGTTATTATCTCCGACTTCATTAATTTGTTCCCAGTTGTAAATGTCACATACATATAAGTAGTGACTTCGCTCTTGTTATCAATATTAATGGGCTTAAAATACGGCAGTTGCAGGAAATGTTTTTTCAGGCTTTCGCGTTTTTCTTTTGCTATTAACTTGCAATCCTTTCCCATTTTGGTCATTGCCTTCTTTACTTCTTCATACATCAATCGTTTTATTGCATCCCCTTGTTTTTCTATCAATGCCTTTAGTTGCTTTATTGCTGCCTCGAATTCCTCTACAGTACAACTGTCAGTAGTAAAGAACTTCTCAATGTCATCCTTGCTTAACTTCTTTTGATTCGCGCTAGTTGTCAGCAACATGATAACTCTATCCTTTATCGTGTTTATCAATGTAGCATTTGATGTTAACACATCAACCGTGTTTATAGTATTACTAGTGCTATTTATCTCTGTCAACTCAACTTTATCAATATTGGCATTCCGTTTGACATCAGGGAATATCACCAATTTATCATGATATTTCTTGGAGGGGCTCATTGTATTAGCAATTTTTAACTTATCGTATTCACTCTTGAGTCGCCTGTAATTTGCATCTTTATCACACTTTATACTAAGCAAATGAATCATCCATGACCAAACAGCTAACATCCTATATTACAGGGGTAATTAGGAGAAAAATTTAAATAGTCGTTAGTTGATATATCATATGTCAAGTTCATTTGGTGATTGCATCACAGTACTACTCACCATACTGTCTGTTGAATAGAAGCAAGTGACTATTCGTGACATTATTCGTGACATCACTAAAAGTGTCACCCCCTATCAAACATTGACTATAAGAAAAGCAATATTTTGAGAATCATAAAAATGAAACCGGAGTCGTCAATAGACAGTACACGTACTATTATCAAAAAGTAGAAAATGATTGAAGTAACAAGGAAAGGAGTGTAATACAAATGAGCAAATATGACACATTTGAGGATGACAAAATGAGTTCTTTGCTATTAATGTGGTAGAAAGGACAGAAGAACCTTAGTAACAAAAGAATTATTCAGGTAAACTTTATATATCAAGAGTGACATAGGATACAGGGAGAACAATGAACTATAGGATTGCAAAAGAAACTCAAATTATTAATGAAAGTGGCATTCTTAGTGTTGATATGAATAATCAGTTGTTCCAACATAACAAATCAAGTAATATTGCGGTGTGGTTGATTACGGAAGTATTCAATACGATATTTTTAAGTTTGTAGCAAATAGGATAACTGTGACATTCTCATAGTTATTTGTATGTGAATGGTGATGTTATTTGCGATGATTTTGTGCATAAACAGGAACATGGCTGTCTCTTTGTTTTCAGGTAAATATGCTTCCTATGAACGTAATGTGTGCAAAGAGTACCAGAACAATAGAAAACACAGAAAGCAGTGTAATTAAATAGCATTGTAAAATATTGGAAAGATAAGAATGCAACCTTGCAATGAGAATTATAAGGTTGTAATGTGTTGGAAACAGTTATACGTACGCAAAATAGTAGTATAGTAGGCTATTTATTATTATTATTTCTCTATTTATTTTCTATACGAACAAAATTGTTACGGACCTTTTCAAAACAAACTATTTTTGCCTGATTTGGCAACTTATGTAAAATTGCGTCAGGATGCAAATAGACAGCAGGTGTTTATATACCAAAACTCACTCAAATGCTATTTATCACGCGTTTTGTCTCGATATCCACCATACTTACACTAATATGGTCAATTCAATACCTTAAACCTTTTTGTTTACCTATGCCATGACTGCGTGTATATTTATTTATTCAGCAGGATAGCCATAGATTTACATCAATCCACTCCTTCTACTAGATTTTCTAACACTATTGACATTAATATTCTTCAAATATACCCCCTTAAAAAGTGCCTGAGACACTTCACCTTAATCGTACGAGAACATGCGTGAATACTACTGTTACTAGCGCAGTTTAATATTCTAATATGTTAAACAATAGGTGAACACGAAATGTGTATACAAGAACATGCTATCAATTGTATGAAAATGTGTGAATGACAGCCAAATCAAATATTGAAGTGTCACAGAATAATGATAAGGAAATTTTTACCAAAGTTATACTGCACCTGGAACATGAAAAGTATACATTACACGACAAGAACAGTTTAAATCAGATACGGACTCTTGTCACAACCGTGTTCTGTTCAGGGCGTCTAACAAAATGATTCATGTAGTACCAGAGCATATATAGAAGCACTAATACGGTTAATCAGTAGCACTCACATGAATATCCATTAGTCAATATTCTAAGAATATTGGCATTTTGATTGAGCACGTGGAACAAGAGTAACCTAGGAGAAATAAAAAGAACGTGTATAACATACGGGGGCACAAGAGACAATACTGATCAATGTTTTAATATCAATACGCTGATATAAATAGTTTGAAACGTGAGATGGGCATGTTATTGTACTGGATCACGATGATGGTAAAAACGAAAGAGATTAAACCGAATCCGAAAACAAACAACAACGTGGATGAAGAGATGAGTATGGATCATTACCGGATTTTCTTTACAAGACCACCTTTTACAGAGGTAAACGACTAATTAACAAAGTGAACAGTATTTCTGAATACAGCAAGGTACGTGATAAAAATTATCAAGCAAGGACCAATACAAATGACAACAAATTAAAAGGACCAAATGGTACATAAGTCGGGAATACACATCACATTATTTATTACTAGCAAACATATACATGTTAATTAAATCACTAGTTTCATATCTCTATACTTGATTAGCAAATGCCTGAAACCATGAAGTTATCAGAATCAGATTGATAGTAAAGAAGGGTCTCTCTGAATAGCAACAACAATCCAAACATAATTAATACACCCATCATTTCCTCAGAGAATATTGATTTCATCTAAACCTAATAATGCTGTTTTATTTCTCTTAACAACTTCTTAGATGTCATTTACATTATACCCGTTAATCTTCACAGCCATCATCAATCAATCACTTACTGCTGTAGTTTGTGACAGGTTGATGTGAGTTCCTTAATACACGTAATCCACTCTTCCATTTCTCACCATATTATTGTATCCTATTAAACCTGATTTCCCCAATAATCAAATATCTACTATTCTAATAATATCTGATTACATCCTTATACTGTAATACACCCATATCCAATACGTACACTCCTATCATCCTATATATCACCGTAATCTTTTTCATAGCATAAACTAACAAACAAACAAAATATTTAACCCATGAAAATAAACAAGAACTGCATCGCAGACTTCGCTAGAAAGCAGCACGCTGTGGCACTTGCAACCAAATCCAGGCTGTTTGACACCTCGTTCTCTGTGACGAGCGAGCTGATCGTCTACGACCTGAAGACGAAGAAGCAAATTGCAACAAAAAGCGAGCATAAATTCTGTTCTGTAAAGTGGTGCGAATCGACCGACAGCCTCGTTGCNCTTTTTCATAGCATAAACTAACAAACAAACAAAATATTTAACCCATGAAAATAAACAAGAACTGCATCGCAGACTTCGCTAGAAAGCAGCACGCTGTGGCACTTGCAACCAAATCCAGGCTGTTTGACACCTCGTTCTCTGTGACGAGCGAGCTGATCGTCTACGACCTGAAGACGAAGAAGCAAATTGCAACAAAAAGCGAGCATAAATTCTGTTCTGTAAAGTGGTGCGAATCGACCGACAGCCTCGTTGCAGTCGGCCACGACAACGGATCTGTCTCGGTCTACGCCCTGAAGGGCAACCAGCTCGAATTGGCCTTCACGAAGCAGTACGCTGGCAACAGCGACGAAGTCGCTGTCCTCGACTTTCTGCCCCAGAAAAACATGCTTGCTGCCTGCACCCAGGGCGGAAAGCTGTTTTTTGTGAATTTGACCGATAGCAAGGAATACGCCCTGGACGTGCAGATCCCAGGCCCATCCTGCATGGCCTGGAACAGCAGCGTGTCCAAAATCATCGCAATTGGAACGAATGACGGGTCAATCCGCCTGGTTGACATCAAGAAGCATTCTGTGATCATGACGCTGACTGAGTTCAGGAGGGTGAAACGAATCGAATGGGACGAGGTGGTTCCAACGAAACTCGTTGTGCAGTCCGAGAGAAGCCACCTTTCGATGCACGAGCTGTCGAGTGACACGCAGACTGAGACGGAGTCGTTCGAAGGCGGAATCGTCTCATTTTGCGGCGACCACGTTTTGGCAGGTGGCTTCCTCGTGAACCTGAAAACGGGGGCCAGAATTCCAATGAGAGACGAGGTCAAAGAGGCCGTCCTCTCTGAGAGAACGGCCGTCCTGAACAACAAGGACGGCTCCACCGACATCTACGCCATCCCGAGACTCCCCCTTCGTGCCCCTCACTTTCGAGTTGGAAACATGATTTATGCGCCAGGTGGCACCTTCTCTGTCTCGTCCAGCCACTCCCTCGACTACGAGACGAAGGAGGAGAAGGTGGACTCGTTCTACGACGAGCTCAGGGACCACGCGAACACGGCTGAGCACCTCATCGAGAACGCAGACGGAATCAACCCCGCCTACCTCACAAACACGGCCAAAAGTGGAATTGCGGTGGACGTGACGAATCAGATGCATCGGAGGCTGCTCAAGGGCGACTTCGGGGCACTGAGGGAGTCGAAGGAGACCATTTCACTCTCCAACGTGGCCAGTTTGGTTGAAAACGACAAGGCCGTCTTGGACAAGGTCAAATCATTCGATGAGCTGATGCTCCTATCAAAGTTGCTTGGTGACTACAGTCGCCTGTACCGAATCAACAACTCTCGTCTTCTGGCCGCCTTGTTGCTGAACCTGAACTTGGATCTGGCTCCCCTGAATGGCACAGACAGAGAGGGGCGCATTCTGAAGGGCGCCCTGACTGGAGACAGCAGCATCGTGGGCGACAGAATCGTCCTATCAGGCAACTTCTACGAAAACATGTCGAAGATCAAGCAGCTTCTTGGTGACCTGAGCACGCCTGTTGAATCAGACTATCTTAGCGAGTATTTCTGGTACAAGGTCTCTATAGGCGAATATGAGGATGTGGCCGATTTGAAGGTGAATGATACGAGAATACAGCAGTATAAGGATGGATTCAGGCAGATTAACGAGTTGACTGCAAAATTGAATACGGTGGTGGCACCAAGTGGAATAGGCAAGTTCACTAGGCCACCAATTGGGATGAGTAGGCCGCAACAGGCGCAGAATGCACTGAGAATGGCACCAAAGTCACCAGTGATGGCACCGAGATCACCAGCATCAGTTCCAGGGAGACCACTACCAAAGTCACCAGTGATGGGAAGCAGTCAGCAGAGACCAATTGGACAGGGAAGTCAGCCACAAACCAGGCCACTTCCATCAAAGCCAATGACACCTGCATTTGGAACAAGACCAATTGGGCAGAATAGGCCAGTTATGCCAGGTAGACCAGGAATAGGAGGAATGGGAAAGACACCATTTATGAATAAGCCAATGACACCACCATTTGGGCAGAAGAGTGAATCAGCCACAAATAGGGAAAGTGTATTCAGGGAGTTTAGCATTCTTGTAGAACAAGTAAAACAGCAAGTGGCAACCAAAAACAGCATTCTCATAAACCAGAAGAAAACAAGATTTCTGAATGGGCTGGCAACGTACAATTCAGTCGATTCAGCAACAATAACTGACGAAGTGGCAGGGGCAATGGAATCAATAGTACAGAGGATGAAGAACATAGATTCCAGGCTGAAGACAGACCTGGATGCAATGGGCGTGAACAAGACGGTGTGGCTGCAGTCCCTGGTGGAGCTGATTAAGATAGGCTACTAGTAGATTAAACTGTTTGCACCGGGATAGCATTTACTTGAAAAAAAAACCAGCAAGCTGGGAAACCATAACAACAAGTAGAATGCCCACCATTTAAGAAGGGGGGTTAGAAAACGAGTTTATTTATAGTTGATACAAACAAAATGTAGTGGTATTTTGTTCGTATAGTTTATGCAACCAGGTTTAATAAACAAATTCAATCAGGGTGAATAGGTTCACTGTTTCAGTACCCCTGTATGTTTTCCAAGTTAGAGGAATTTGTCTACAGAAATTATGGCACAAAAGTATTGAGCCAGAATGAGATAGGCAGAATACTGACGAAGGCAACTGAGATTGGTCTCATTAGCACACCAAACATGCAGATATACGAGCCAATCACACCCAGTGACCTGCTAAAGGCAGTCAGAAGAATGCAGGAGAATGAGGAATCGACTACCAACAAGAGTGTCCTTGAATCTCAGTTGAACCACGGCAACAAGTCACCGAATCTGGTGAAACTTGAACGTGTTTTGAACAGTTTCTTGAAGTACGAAAAGAGGAGACTGAGAGGGAAGACCCATCGAATCCAGGCCACCATCTTTCTCACCATCCTACTGGCCATGCTCGCCTTTGGACTGTACACCTCCTACACCCCTGAACCATACTAATAGTTGATCAATACTATGATAACTTGTATTCTACTATTCCACCCTTGCTTATTGTACACCCTAGTGCTCGTATCATGTTTCTGAACTTTGTTCTCGTATAATTCTGCTGTGGTAGCACCTCTATACTCATTTTATTGTTGCAATAGAGTAGCATCATCAAGTAGAGCTTAGATGCGAGTTTATCAGCCAGAATGCGACTGAGTCTCCTTCCAACCACATCCTGTGCTATTATAGGGTATAATCCAACGTACTTCTCAGGCAGCCCAAACTTACTAACTACCCTTGTAGTCAGAATTGTGTTGACGTAGTCGATTAGAACCAAAATGCACCTTTTTTCGAAGACGACGACTTCGTCCACTGATACGGCCTCCACTCCTGGAAGCCCCATCTTCTCGCAAATCTCCTCGCAAATGCCCTGGTCTCCCAGCGCATTCACAATCTCCTTCGACTTGTCCGTGACTTCCTTCTCAAACAGCTCCACCAGGCAACTTGCCCTTTCGCTAACCACGTTGCTCTCCAAGTTGAACTTCACCCTCTGTGCCGCTGGCTTCCTCTCTATCGCCCTCTTCTTCACTGCCTCCTTGGCCCGCCTGTCTCCAAATTCAGCCACCATCTGCTCGTACTCAACTGACTCACCAGCAGCCGTGAGACTGCTTCCTTCCATTTCAGTCTCAATTCTCATCAAACAAGCTTCTTCTTCCCCAATTCGTAGTCTGTCTCCAACTATTTCACATGCACAGTAATCAACTGGTGAATTGGTTTCAGTTGCCTTTCTGACTATTTCACCCTCCTTATTCTCCAAAATGTAGCGGCCATTGACCATTTTGGTCTCAAACTGCCTTCCTTCGTCGCAGTCTTCAAAGACGAACTTCATCGGTGGAAAATTCAATCAAAATTTGGCCCATGGCAAAGAGAACGCATCACACGAACTGCAACCAGGCGAAGAAGAACCACAGGAGCGGAAAGAGGAGGCCGAAGAGGGGCAAGCTGGTGGAGAAGCCAGGAATCAACCAGAAGCGGATGATGAACGTCCTATGCTCCCGGTACTGCCAGAAACAGGCTGAGTCTTCTGGGAAGGCAGAATGAGAATTTGATAAAATTTTGCCCCAATGGCACAGCTTCAGATTCCAAGAAACGAGACAGCAGTTCATAAGAAGAGGCGCGTATTCAGGACAGCAAATAGCTATTTCATGCACGTAAAGTGTAGAAACTGCGAGGAGACGACTGTCTGCTACTCGCACAGCCAGACTGATGTGAGATGCTGCATGTGTGCGTCAGTCCTAGCCACGGCCACTGGTGGGAAAGCAGCCCTTGTTGAGGGAGCTGCCTTCAAGAAGGTGGAGAACACTTATTAGGCAGAAATAAATAACCCAATTCTAACTACTACTATACCACCCTAACTACCTACTACTTTAACTACTACTTTAATTCCCTAGTGATCTTCCTGTAAATGAGTTGGCTCTTTCAACTGTAACTGGTCTGGCTGAGCTACCAAATACTCATCCACCTCTAAAACAGTCGCAATGAACTCCATGGCGTAGAAGAAGCACCTTTCTCTGTCTGAATCAACCATTGGAACATCCTCGTCTTCCAATGCCTCCTGCACTGCCTCTGCTACGATTCCAGTGCTCTTCACACGAATCCGTCTCTCATCCACCAGCAAATCCTCCTTGTTCTTCAGCCCATTCAGTAGCCCATTTATTTTGGTCTCGTATTCATCAAGAACCTCCCTTAGAGAATGACGAAGCACAATCGTACGAATCTGCCCATTTCCAATCACCCGAGTGAACTCCCTCTCTCCAGCCCTGATTGTCGACACCTCCTTCACCACTGTTCTGTTTCTGCCTGAAATGGTCTCGTTCACCTTCAAACCAAGGCCCCTGCTGATTCGAACCAAATCAAATTTGCTGTAAATTCGTAGAACCACGATATTCCTACGATTGCACATATCAAGGAATGTGCTGTTGACTGAGCCATGAACAAGCAGAATATTGGTCGTAAGGGCATCTACTGCCTCACGAATGCGTTCAGTCTCGTCCTTCGAATATCGAAGCAGCTCTTCTGCCCCATTGAGGAGAACAGTTCCCTTTAGTTCAGTCCTAGGAATGTCCAGGGCACAGCTGTAGAGACCAAGTGTCGTATTCACCCCACGTCTTATGCGCCCTGATACGCCATTTGGTACCACCATTCCACTAACTAGCACCGTATCATCAAATACACCTGTATTCATCTTTATAAGACGAATCCTCTCAGTATCAAATGAGCCTGTTTCACTAATTGCCCTTAAAAGTGTCTTAGAAAGGTGCATGTTTCCTAGCACCGAGAAGAAGAGTCTGGCTAAGCCAGCCTCTTCCTCCACAAACTGTGACTCAATTTCCAGGTCTCGTAGACCGTTACTTATGTACTTTCCTGTGACACCGCTGTCCAATAGGACTATCAGCTTGTCTACCAGTCTTCTACTCAATCCAATCATGTATCTTGCTCCATTTATACTTTCTGATGCTCTTTCTACGAATTCACCAAATATCTTGGTCACAGGGTGGTTGAATTTCACCCTATCGTAAATCACCTTCTGGTTTTCAGTCACCAGCAATTTGTCTCCAGTTCCACGAACCAGGAGGTATCCGCCCTTCTCCCCCAGCTCAAGCAGTCTCCTTATTCTGTAGAGCATTGTGATGTGTTTAGTCTTCTCGTGGTTGATGCTACTTAAGAGAGATCCAATTGTAGAATTATTGAATGCCATTGGGGTAAAAAGAGAAGATTACAGTTAGGTAGTTACTAGGGTGAATAATACTATGGAATATTACCAGGGTAGAACAGAATAACAGTAATTTATTGGGGTGGAATACCATTTTGCAACTTACTTGCCTATTCATCTTCCTTTTCGTAGTCTTTTGGCTCAAATATCTTTCTTGCATGGATCAGCTCCTCATTCGTCAGCAACAGGTTCTTTACACGCGTGTATTTGGTTCTATCTCGTCTCAGAAAGAAGAGCAGGTCCTCCGTCTTTGTCTTTCCCTTTATCTTGGCCATATTGTGTGTCTTAGTCAGTAACGTGTTCAGATAGTCACAAAGGTAGCCGTGTACAGTCAGACTGGTGTCAACTCGTGGCACACTCACGTCTCCAAAAGCATAGAGCATCAACCTAACCTCCTTCAGAAACACATTTTTACGAATATCCTTCATTCTAGACAGGTGTAAAAGAGTGAAAAATGAAATACGGGTATTTTGAAAGAGACTGGTCAGAATGCACAATTCCACTTAAAACAGCAGCAGATGAACACCGTTTAAATAATTTTGCAAAATTTACTATTTTAATAGGCTATTTTGAGCAATATCAAAATTTCACCCTAAAAAGAAGCTCATAACAAGAGAGGTAAAGAAACCAGACTGGTTGATCCTATTTATTTAGGTAAATGACACTACCTGTAAGGTCTGCTCATCATGAAATCGTTGGATTGATCACTGCTGTGGTCGTGGTCAAATGCAAATGGAGAAACCACCAGATCACCAAACTGATCGTCCTGCTGGTTCATGTAAAATGGTTCTGCTGGATTCAGGGAGTCCAGAAACACCTTGGGCTTGCTCCGTGCTGGTTGTGGAGCATGCTGGTCTTCAGCTCTGCCAAGACGCTGATACAGCTTCACTCGCTGCGCATCGTTCTTCTGCTTCGCCCTCCGGTTCTGAAACCAGACTTGCACGTTCTTCAGGGGCAGTCCAAGCTGATCAGCAAGCAGCTTCTTCGTTTTTGCAGACGGTTTTGAATCACTTCGAAAAGACGTCTCAAGAATCCCAATCTGCTCAGGTTCAAGCTTCACCCGAGCTCTCTTTTGGTCATTTGAACTGTAACAGAACGACTGCATCTCTTCCTGTGTGTCGTTAATAAATACGTAATCTGAGTATTTTTTCCTATACATAATGGGATAAAATATGAAATTTATGTTTGATCAAATACAACAGTTCTAAATAAATATTACGTCTCCAATTTAATTCCTTGACAACTTCATGAAACGGTAATGAATTTTTTGATATTTGAAATGGATACTTCATAGTGTCATGATAGTTAAGATATCCCCAAACTGCAGTGGCGCTTCTACGCACCAAATTAAATTTGAAAGGTTGAGTAATCAGTTGGAAGATGACTCCAGAAAGACCTGCTGCCCGAAATAGGCAGAAAGAAGAAATTGGGATAATTGAAAATGGTAGAAGGAAGTCAGATTCGTAGAATAAATAGAATGAGATCATTGCTTCTTGAAGATTTCACCTCGCCAGGATTCACTCACACAGTCCAAAGACTCAGAGGCCCATCCAATCGAGTTAAACGCGTCAATCGCCTTCCTGTTGGTTTCGTGGTTGATTTTACGTTGTTCTTTGGTCAAATTGAGACTCATTTCCACTGCTTCTGCGATTGATTCGGTGTTGTTTGAATCGTGGACGAATACGCCTTGAAGTGTCACAGTTGCCCCAGTGTGCTCACTTAGAATCACAGTCCCCTCATTCTCGTCCTGACAGGCCACGTATTCCATTGCAACCAGGTTCATTCCATCTACGACTGATGTAATGAGAATGGCATCTGCTATCGAGTACAATGCGCATAATTCAATGAATGTGACACCGTGAAACAGCATTTGAATGGGCGTATCCTCCATTCGCCCCATTGTGCTGTTTATGTGTTCAATCTGCCTATTAATCTGTTCGACGTAGCCTGCGTATTCCTGGACACCAAGGCGACTTGGAATTGAAATCTGTAGGAAAACAACCTCAGAAACTGCCTTCTTGTTTCTCTGATAGAACCTCTCAATGCCCTTGAATCGCTGTGGCATTCCCTTGATGTAATCAGCCCTGTCTACTCCCAGAATAATACGTTTGTTTTTGTAGCATTTTCTAAGTCTCCTAATGGCTGCCTTAGTCTCCTCCTTCTCTAAGCAGGACCGGAACATCCCGGGTTCGATTCCGATGGAAATCGCTTTTATTTTAGGAATTCGACCAATTTTATAGGAATCCAGGGAAAGTGAGAAGTTGGAGGCGTATTCAGGCGTGTGGAAGCCAACGACATCGCAAAGAGAGAGGGAATTGAGGAGATCCCTGGCGCAGAGAAGGCGATCGAGGTTCTCAGGCTCGCAGAATGCGGTGTGGGAGAAGAAGAGGATTTTGACGTGGGGCTTGAGCTCCTTCAGGTAACGTGGAACAAGCATCTGGTGGTAGTCGTGGATCCATACGATGTCATCTTCGTCCATAACAGCAGCAATCTTCTCAGCAAATATCCTATTGTACTTCTTGTAGGCATCGTACTCCTTGAAAGTGAAGCAGACGTTATCTGGAAATGAGTGTAGGGCAGGCCAGAGGATGCTGTTACAGAAGCCATCGTAGCAGAGGGAGTTCAGTTCTGGGTCTATGAAGACAGGATGGCTTTGATACGTCTTTATGAGGTCACTGCTTATTCTTGTTTTCTCTTCTTCAGTGAGACTGCTACTAATATTTCCAAACCAGGCAAAATCCATGGATGACCTGAGCGAGTCAATTCCAGTAACGAGGCCGCCGTCAATTCTCTTGTAGTCAAATTGGCCAACAGCATTCTTCTTCACAGTCACAGGAAGCCTGTTGGCACTGATGATGAGCTTCATGTCTGGAAATGCATCCTCAATATAAAGGGCTGTTTCAGATGCAATTGGTGGTTTCAGCGTGTATTTAATATGATATATTAGCTATTATTTAGTATTTAAGAGTAATATATCATATTCAGGTATGTTTCATAGTATTGGGTTTTGGACAAATATTGGGGGTTTAATAAATAATGCTCAATGAACAAAGTACTGGTTATTTAGGCAGCATAAATAAGCCGATATTATTGTGTGATTCCATGTTTAGAAGCATTCCAGATCTTGTTTTGGATGGAGTCGGAAGATTCATGAGGGACTTTGAGATCGGAGTTTACAACAGGTTTGAGGAGGCAACTACAATCGATGCCTACACGGTTACAAGTGTACATAGTTATTTTCAGATATTTCGTACAGAATATCACAGAGTAACCTTAACAAAGAAACCTTTATCAAATTTCTCAGGAAGCTGTTGTTGCAGGGCAGTCTAAGCAACTACAGATATTATAAGGAGTATGAAAAAGAACAGATTACAAAAATGAGAACAGCTGAGGCTGCTACTGGTGAAATATATAGAAACAGTATTGAATTTATTGGGTATGAGTAAGTGACTATTCGTAAGATCACTAAGAGTGTCACTCCTATCAATCACTGACTATAAAAGAAACGACATTTTGAGAACCCCAAGAATGGAACCGGAATCTTCAATAAACAGTACACCTAACAGAATTAATTGCTGTAAAATAAACAAAATGCAAAGAATGATTTTATTCTTTTGACACCAAAATAAAGACTATTTGCGTTACCGAAGAGACTATATACTTTCAGATTACGATGAAACTAATGAATCAGCAAGTCTACAAATACAATAACCTGAAAATGCTATATGTCAAGTACATAAGAAACGAGTTTATTTTTGATCAAATATTCAGATCAAGTTCCTTCCTCATTTCATTTTAAGGTCCCTTTTCCCCACCAGGTTTTAGATCAAGTCCCTTTTCCACATGGCATTTTCTTAGTAAGAATAAATCGGTGTGATCTATTGAATCCTAAGAAGCTCAAATAATGCTACCAAGCCATTCTTTTCTCAGTATTGTGCTTCCACATGAATTCACACAACAGTTTATCACCAAGAATCCCTTTGCGCATCTTAATGTTGTACTTGCACGTATTCCACGTTGATTCAATATTCTGAGTGTGGGTCCCAGTAACTGGGTTCACAAAGCTCTCAGTGTGATTAACAGTCTCATGAGTGAATCTGAGCTCATCAGATATGTCCTCCATTCATCACTGTTAATGATGGTGCCTGGAAGGCATACACGCTCAATGATAGGCAGCAATGTGGAGGCTTTACGATCATCTACCACGTGCAATGAGATTTTAGCTGGCGTAAAAGACACATCACCCAATCCAAATACCCGGATCTCATGCCCTGGCTGTCTACATCGATGGTATTTCTGTTTGTGCCTGAACAGACTTTCGTCTATCTGGACCACAATACCATCCCCGCCGAGCTTAACAGGATTCTCTGCGCACATTTTGCTGTTAAATGCACGCAGACGGTCAATTATTTTCATAACGACCTTCCTGTTAAGGTTCGCCTCGGTCATGATCTGCAATTGAGTGTGGTTACTAAACCATTTACATCACACCTAATGATATTGCTCAGGGGTGCACTGAACTCACCAATAAATGCCTTAGCATGGATTGACTGATACTTTGAGTATCCGCTGCAATCATGGTTGCAATACCTGATCGTTATTTCATCCCTGATGTGATTGTTTAACCTGTAGATTATTGCAACAGAACTTGTTAGATATCCAAATATTCATTTAACTCAGCAATATCCGCAGTATATTCATTGATAACATATTTTGATAAAGATACACTCTTCAAATACCAGGTATAATATAGTTTATGGTGCATATTTTTACCCTTTAAGTATAAAATCCCATTAACCCACCAAATAACCATACTGTAGTCATCCTACTCAATTCAGTATCCTTCCCATACCATTATATCTCCTACTAATAAAATCCTCTTCTTTTTATCCCATGTTGGCTGATGTCGGCAATTTCATAGGCAACAAATTACAAGGCCTCTTTGAAACACACGTCACTGACGAACGTGTTGCTGAACTCATAGATGAAATCTGCAGGGAACTGCTCCATGCAAACGTGGGCGTAGCAAGAGTCGCATCCCTTCGTAGTGCAATTTCTTCCAAAATAGACCTGAATGCCATCCACGGAAACACAAACAGGGCCAAAATGGTTCAGAAGGTCGTTGTTGATGAAATAGCGAGAATGCTGGGTGGAGATAGCACCGTAGTTGAGTTCAACAAGAACGAGCAGCATACGGTGGTATTTGTTGGATTGCAGGGTGCTGGTAAAACAACCTCAGTTTGCAAGTACGCCTATTACTATAAAAGAAGAGGAATGAGAGTAGGCGTAGTCTGCGCTGACACATTCAGGGCTGGTGCATTTGACCAGGCTAAACAGAATTGCGATAGAATTGGAGTAGAGGCATTCANCCTGAATGCCATCCACGGAAACACAAACAGGGCCAAAATGGTTCAGAAGGTCGTTGTTGATGAAATAGCGAGAATGCTGGGTGGAGATAGCACCGTAGTTGAGTTCAACAAGAACGAGCAGCATACGGTGGTATTTGTTGGATTGCAGGGTGCTGGTAAAACAACCTCAGTTTGCAAGTACGCCTATTACTATAAAAGAAGAGGAATGAGAGTAGGCGTAGTCTGCGCTGACACATTCAGGGCTGGTGCATTTGACCAGGCTAAACAGAATTGCGATAGAATTGGAGTAGAGGCATTCACGCTACCAGGGGAGACTGATCCAGTGAGGGTCTCTCGTGCTGGAGTAGCCCACTTCAGAAAGGGAGACTGCGAGCTGATTCTGATTGACACGTCTGGCCGCCACCACCAAGAAGAGGGTCTCTTTCAGGAGATGAGGGAGATCTGTGACGCAGTCGACTACAGTCGCATTTATTTGGTGATGGATGCTGGAATGGGGCAGTCAGCTGAGTCACAGGCAGCTGCCTTTGGAAAGGCTGTTCCACTTGGAGGAATCATTTTGACGAAAGTTGATGGGGCAGCCAAGGCAGGCGGAGCACTGGCTGGGGTGGCAGCCACAGGGTGTCCAATTGAGTACATTGGAACTGGAGAAGCAATGGGATCACTGGAGCAGTTTGACAGCCGCAGATTCATAGCACGTCTTCTGAACTGCCAGAATCTGGAACAGGTGCTAAAAAATATGGCTGACCTGGATTTGAACCCAGACGAGATCACCTCCAAGTTCAAGGAGGGCACATTCACCCTGGGGGACTTCAAGCACTTTTACAGTCAGATCAGCAGTTTGGGGCCGATGACGAATCTGCTTCAGATGGTGCCAGGAGTTGGGAAGGTGGACATTCCGGACGAGAGGAAGATGAGGAGAGTGAACTACATCTTTGATAGCATGCACGAGAGTGAGCTGATGAGTGTGGGAGAGTGTTTTGGGCCAAGTAGAATCAGACGAGTTGCATTGGGAAGTGGTACGACACGGGAGCAGGTGAATGAGCTGCTGGCTAATTTCAAGAAGATGAGTCAGGTGGCAAAGAAGTTGATGAATACGCCTGGATTCAGTGAGATGTTCAGGTAGTGTAGTGGTAGTAGTTAATATAGAATAGAATAGAATAGATAAACACCTATCAACATATCACTACTTATCACTACTTACCCTACTCACTCTACCTATCAACTTATCACTACCAATTACACCTAATTTAGCAATTAATATTCCTCTCTATTTTTTATTCCCATATCATTATGGATCAAACCAAAACTAGTAAGACCATCCTATTCATCCTGATCCAAGGCAGCACCTGTTCTGGTAAAACATCCTTCGCAGACTACATCGATGCCATTCTCTCCCCACACCTGCGAATCGAGAGAATCGCCCTTGATGAGTACTACAAAAAGAGAGACTTCCTCTTCACTGATCCAGTAGCACGAAACTACGACTTCGATTGCCCAGCCGCCTTTGACTGGGATGACATTGCTGCCACCATCACTGGATACGTCACGAATGATAGGCTGATCAGGTGCATCTCATTTGATTTTGCGACTCAACGTAGGGCTGAATACCACAAGAAGAACACCAACCCAGATGTGATCGTGGTAGAGGGACTCTACGCATTCAACCTGTTCAATAGCAGCGTATTCGACTGCAGCAGAATCAGCTGCTGGAAGAAGCCACCTGAGAACGAGAATGAGCTGATTGAGAACGAGACTGGGATAGCAGAATGCAGGAGCATCAGAATTCTGCTTCAGGCGAATAAGAAGAGGGTGAAGGAGCTGAGAGCCAAGAGAGACCAGGCTGAGAGGAATACGACTGCTGAGACTGAGTCACTTGATGTGCGACTGGATGAGTACGTCTGGCCTGCTACTGAAAAGTGGGTGCATTCTGCCCATAGCAGGGTGGACTACCTGATTCCAGATGGATCATTCAACGTAGGAGAGTGCATGCGTGTTGCCAAGGAGTTGCAGAAGCACCTGATGGTAGAAGGAAGCATTGGGGAAATAAAGAAGGTAGAAAGAAGGAGGAATACAGGGAAGAGTGGCTAGTAATATTGGTAG